CACTGAAGTTTTTGTTCCATGCAATAAATGGTGTCTTTGGTGACATCTGAAGTGTTGTTGTTGTTTTCTCATTGATTGCTGATTACTCGACTAAACTAGTTATGGTTTTTTGTTTTAAGTATTTCTGAATTAAGTTACTATGGTCAGAAAGGTCTTTTGGAACCAATTAAGGCGAAGGAATAGGATGAGAATAAAGTGGAAAAAACATTTGCTGGGAAAGCATCTATTTACTTGATGTGTTGTTGTTTCTTGTAATTTATTTCGTTTTTTTTCGACGCCTCTTTTTGCATCATTAAGTACTTGTGACCAAAATACGCTTTTACCTTTTTTATTTTGTAGCTGACTATTTTTTATCATTCCGTCGTTTGAACCGTTTCTTTACAAGTCTATAAGTTTAATTCAGAATCGCCACCAGGAATTTGTTTTTTTAGATTAGTTCAATGTAATTATGATTTTCTTCCAGATTTTCTTTGGTATGCTGATATTACGCTAAGGCTCATCATGACTAGTGAGGATGATGTTATTGTTCGTGTATTTAAAGCTGAAGATGATGAAAGTTTATTGGAAGAATGCTTAGAAGTTCGTCGTCGTGTTTTTGTGGTTGAACAAGGTGTCGATGAGTCGATTGACAAGGATTCGCTGGATGATCAGTGTATGCACATCGCACTTAGTCTACCCAAACTTCATTATGGCGACGAGTCTAAGGAAACCGTAGCTACTTGTAGGCTGCGTTGTCACTCTCCTTATGTAAAACTTGAACGGGTGGCTGTGTTGAAGGTACATTTCAAGCATGACTGCTTAAAATATAATTTCTCGATTGGGAGTTATTTATTCTAAAATGTACAAGTCGTTTTGCCGGCTCTGTCAAGTACTGAGGCTGTCAAAAGTGGTCACCGCTTGAATAAGATTGGGCTATCTTTAAATGTTAACAGATTAATTTTTAACGGGGTTTCAGGAATGGCGTCATCATTATTTTGGCTTCTTAATCTGTAAATCTGCTGTAAAATTAGCCGAAAAAATGTTTCCACGCTACCTTCTCGTCATACATGCACAGATGGAAGTGTATTTCTTTTATGAGAAACTTGGATTTATACCGGTTTCCGACACTTTTGTTGAAGCAGGGATTCAACACAAGGTAACAGGTGCTATTTTAAGGACATTGACTTTAGGTGAGTGATCTCATACTAACTCCCTAGAAACATTGAACATCTGAATTCGACAGGGTGGTGCCGTGGCATTAGGGCTCTCTGCCTATAAGGAACTTATTATCTCTTATTATCTCTTACTGATTTTTTGGGGCAACTGTTCTTAATATTAAACTTATGGATATTACGTCTGTTTAGAAGCTGAAGTTTTCTGAAATGCATTTTCTTCTTTTTAATTAAGCTCAGTGGCATTTCTAACTTACTATTTTATCTTGGACATCAGAAGAGTTTTAAATTACAACGCGGTGATCTGAAATTATTTTGTTCTAAAGACAGTCTTTCTAGTTCGTATTTACTGTTTTTTATGGTACATTTAAAACAGTTCGTGTTTTTTTAAATCACGGCCATTTCAGACGATGATTTATGTTCCACCTTGCAGCAGAATTGATAATATGTTTATTCACAAAAATTCTTATACCCATGATTCGTTCGTTGCCGGGGAGTGTTGGAGTCCTGAAGTTATTGCTTCTGCTCTTCAAGTTTTACGTCTTTATCAAGTTAGCTTTTAGCAATATTTATTTTTTGAAGTTGTCTTTTTTGTCGTTATATTATTACTTTTGCGTAGTCGCCGATTTTTATTTCTACCTATTGCATAAGTTCTTTGCTTCTTTTAAAAAGTCATTTGAATTTCGCAAGGTATTTCCTTTGTTATTCAGGCTTCTTGTCAGCCAAGAATTCTGCACTATCAGTACAAACTTGATGATAAAGTCGTTGGTCATTCCTTGATAAGAGCCTACCGCGAATGTGCTTTGGCTCTGGAGAAGAAGCTTTACAAACGAAGTATAGCTTTAGAAAAGTTCCTTTTAAGTGTCGCTTGGGAGAAGTTAAATACAGGTCACTATTCGATGGTTGATGATGCTTGGAGGGAGCTTTATTCCGCTATATCTACCTGTAAAGCTTTACGACTGTATAGAGAAGGACTTTACGAGGTAAAACACATGGAAGGCTTACTTAAGAGTTCAGATTTGATTGGGAATAATACTGTTTTTAGGAAGCACTTTTTGCATGTGATTTTGGTCTTCTTATGGGCGGCGATATTGACAATTATTCTCTGTCGTCCTTCGCTACTTATGTTCACAGTTTGCTTCCTGTAGTGTCACCTGTAAAGTGCTTAGTAGGTCCTTAAATCTTCCTTTTGTTGAGAACATGAGTATAAAATATTATAAGTGTTATTTCTTTTTAATTTTTGCTTCCTGGCTTAGAATATTTTTTTCGTTTTATCTAACCGTTGTTTGCAGGTTTCAGTATTCCCTTGTCCTCCTCCCCTTCCGAATTCACAACCTGTAAGACGGCTGAATCGTCCATCAATGGAAGAATTTCTGGAGTGTTTTGGTAAAGGAGAGCCCATTATTATTACTGGAGTTGTAACGGAGTGGCCAGCGTACAAGAAGTGGAGGTCGGTTATTTTTTTTGTTTAACTCTCAAATTATTCTTAGGTTTTTGTGTGTTTTTAAATGGTTACTCTTCTCAGTAGTCAAACCAGTGAGTCTCGCGGTTTTTATCTAATTTATTGTAGTTTTGACTATTTCGACGCTATTGCCGGTCATCGCACAGTGCCAATTGAAATAGGAAGTTCGTACGCTTCTGATGACTGGACGCAAACTTTTATGACCTTCCATGAATTTTGTAAAAAATATATAGAGAAGCAGGTACTTCTTTTAAATTGACTACGAGTTTGGCTTTGTCTTTCTAAACCATTATTCCTTGGTTGCTTCTGACTACTCATCTCTTCTTAGAAGGAGATAAGAACGGTGTTTCCAACACCTTATTACTTCCAGGACTCTGGACTGCCAGGTTATCTTGCACAACATCGAATGTTTGAGCAAATGCCAGAACTACTCAAGGATTTGATTCTTCCAGATTACTACTCGTTCAATTCAATGGATGATGTTGATTTAATGATATGGATTGGGCCTGCGGGTACTGTTTCGCCCTTACATACTGATCCAAAAAGCAATATATTCTGCCAGGTATATAATGTATTCTTTTAAATTAATTAAACTGTACTTTATACACGACCATGCTTTAAAAAATTTATTTAAGAAAAGTGTATTTTCAGGTTTATGGAAGGAAATTTTTCAGACTTGTGCCTTATTCTGAGACTGAGTGTGTTTATCGCCACACCGAGGGACTTCTGACCAACACTACGCAGGTACTTAAAATAGCTTTTTTGTTTTTGCTGAATTTCTACAGTAATTATTGCATAACAGTTCAGGTTCTTTTTTTTTTGCAGATGGATGTTGAAAAGCCGGACCTTGCAAAATTTCCTCTATTTGCCTCTGCTCACGTTTATGACTGTGTCGTTGATGCTGGAGAATCCTTATTTATACCTAAACAATTTTGGCATCATGTTCGTTCCCTCGATCCTAGTATTTCAATCTCTTGCTGGTTTCAAGCTTGAATAAATATTCTTGTTGCATTAGCACCAGTATTTTAAAAAGCAACTTGTTTTATTTTTTTATTTTTTCGATTTCTGTCTCTTGCTCTTTCCTCTGCTGCGGTTGCGAAGCTTTTTGAAAAAATAAGCATGTACGACGGGTGTATTTGACGGGTATGTTTAGGAAAGTTTTTTTCATGATATTTATGGAATATTTTTGTTATAAGAATAACTGAAAAGTTTCAAAGTCAGTTTTTAGCTTCGAGTTGTAGGTGACTTTCAACATAAAGAATTCTCGTCTCAGGTGTCTGTTAATTAATTACCTTTTTTTAATCTGCTCACATTTGCTTTAGGGATGGTACTAAAGAACCGTCAAACAATAATGCTATAATTTTGTTAAGGTTTAAAAGATAATAAAGTTTCAATATCTGCAAAAAAAATTTGATGTCGCACCAATTAAAAAGTGTTCCGCAGTTGCAGGATAATATTCTTCCATTATTATCTTCATCATCAGTCTGATTATTTGCCAGTCTTGGTCAAATATGCAGTAAGGTTTTTTAGAGGTACATTAGTTAGTGCAGCTGTAATAAATGTAAATTATTTTTTGACTGGAATCCTGAGAGCAAATTGATAATCTTTATTAGAAAAGGTTCAATACAGTGGTGGGTGCATGGAAAAATGGTGGAGGGGAGACGGCGGTTGATATATTTGGCTGCAACAGATCATGTGATGCGCAATTTATAATGGCGCAAATGGATAAGATACCGAAAGCGGACTGGCAAATCTTATTTGTGATGTGTTTGTGTATGTGTGTCTGTATGTCTGTCTGTATATTTGTGCCTTTTTTTTTGTCTGGTCGGTCTATGTTTGTGCGTGTGTGAGTGTGTTTGTGTTTGAGTGTCTGCCTGCATGCCTTTGTGCCTTGTGCAGATGCTTTGTCATTCGTATGTGTTTGGCAAAAATTGGTGTAAAAGTCGTTTTCAGTTATACTACTGATGGTAGTCTATTATTTGATTTCTGTAAACTGTTGTTTATGTCATTTATATGTTGTTTTATATCAGTGTCCTGTTGGGTTTGGGTTTCCGGAGTTGGTTACTGGTTTTCGCCTTTATTTTTAGTTGTTCTATACCTAACTCGTCATAGTTGATTATTCACAAACCTATTTCGTTCATATGTGCTCATTGATATAAGCTTTTATGGTGTGATGTGCTACGTATATGTACGTAAGGTGTTTTTTTTGCACTGTTTTTGCTGTGGTTGTTGTTTCTGATAACTCCTCTAATGAGGCAAATGCTCGACAACCCTGTGTAGCATATAATTTTACAAATGATGCGCATAGACTGGAATCCAGGAAGATTTTTCGGAAAACGCATTGGTTACGTAGAAGCGGTATTGTTATAGTCTAATATTTTTTTTCTTAGGATGGGAAAGATTTGTTTTGACCATCATTGTTTGTATTGCAGTATAGGTATCATTTTTGTCATTTTTGAAATGCTAGAGTGTGTCACCATTCCAGTTTAGTGCTATTGGAGTGCTGAATTATGCGGGAAACACTTAGTCTACTTTATGAATTGCTGATTATTGTTTTTTAACGTTTTGGTGAATGTTTGGTAAGGTTTGTTTGCATGGTTTTTGGTTGACTCGGTGAACCACTTGGACATGTTGAGGAATTTTAACAATTAAAAGACGTAACTGTCTCTACTTTATGTGTAGTAATTTTTGATCTTATACGTTTTCCATTCTTTTTTTTCTATAGTTTGCTTGTTAGTTTGGTAAAAAACATTATGTTTCACTTTCATTTAATTACGTTTTCAAAATCTGTTGCTTTTTAGAGGAGCTTTTTTTTGGTCATTCTCCCTCGGTGAGGTATTGTTTGCTAGAAGCGATCTTTTTTTCAAAAAGCAGGCTTGAGAAAGTTGTTGTATAAATAGTGTAGAAGTAAGTTAGACTGTTAGGATTTGTAGTGGAAATTTGAACTTTATAACGTTTTTCCAAACCGTTTCATGAGTTTAGAACCTGCTGTTCTTTGTAGAGGTTATTTTTTATGGCATTTAGGTAATTTCATCCCTACTGTTCTTTTTTTTTTTTTTTTTTTTTT